CCGCAGCGCTCAGCGAGCGGAGCTGCAGCGAGACCCGGTTCCCGACGGGGTCTGCGGAGATGGTGACTCGGTCCTGGAACGCCGGGGCGTAGCCGGTTCTCCCGTCACTCGGGTCGCGCTAGGACCCAGGGGCCGGGCGCTCCTTGCAGCCCCCCCCCCAGAGACAGTCCTCGCGCTAGGACCCAGGGGCTGGGCGCTCCCTGCAGCCCCCCCCCCCCGAGACCCGCCCCGCGCCCGGGCCGGACGCCGCCAGCTGCACCTGGGCCAGGACACCTGGGAACAAAGAGGGGACCCGGTCCCCAAACAAGCCTTCAACCGGGTGCCCAGAGAGTCAATCCCCCCTCTCTCCTTGGCCTGCCCCGCTCCCAGCCCCGCAACCCCTGCAGAGACTCAGAGACTCACGCGGGGCCGGAGCCAGGGCCAGGAAGACCCACGGCACCATCGGGAGGGGCGCCCACATCTCCAGCGCAGCCCCAGCGGGCTCGGCGGACCTAGGCTGTGGGACAAGCGGCGGCCTTTTAACCTCAGGCGGCCCCGCTCACAGACCCCAGCTCCCAGGCGGGGACGCAGAGAGATTCTCAGCGTCCGATTGATATTCCAGCCCCCAATGAAAATCGCACGCAGATCGGAGGGCGCCGAAGACACATACTGCCCTCTAGCGGTTGGCACTGGGATGGAAGGTGCACAGTAAGCCCCCTACACGCTGCGCCACAGAAAGCGTGCGTCCCCTCGCGGCAACAACTAGGATAGGAAGTGGAAACCCAGCGGGAGTGGTGCGCATCTAAGACAAAGAGCGCACTCCTCTGAAAATGCCAATTCTACTGATGACTAAGGGCTGGGGGGACAATGTGGGTACATAGCAAGAAAGTTTACGTTTTTATTTTTATTTTATTTTATTTATATTGCATTTTTTAAAACTACTTTAAAACAATCATAAATAGGCAAAGCCAACCCCTGGTACCATGGGGAAAGCCAGAACTCGGGTTCCCGCTGCAACCCTAACTCTGCGGGTGTTGGGTGCGCCAGGGACCGGGGCAGCGGCTGCAGCTTCCCCATGTACCGCAACCTTCCCAGACTTCAGAAGTTGTTGTCTCCTGGGTCCTGAGCGCAGCGCTGGAGACATTTGTGCTCGGTTAAAATCCAGGTGATGGTGTGACAGCGCGTTGGGGTCTCCACTCCCCTTCTTCCCATTGTTCCGCTCCCTGGGAGATAACTCGTGAGACAGATTGGAAGCCCCCTTGCATAATGACTCATCCCCTGCCCTGCTGGGCCGTGCTGTAGCCAGTAGCTAGTGGAGGTCACTCACAACCCACTGCCCAGCATAGCAACCAGCAAGGTACCCCCACTACGTCACAGATGGTAAGGGTTCAGCCTGCCCCCTGCCTGCCCTGAGGGCCCCACCTCCCCGCTGCCTGCTCTGGGGAGGGGCAGGAGCCCCACACTGGGCAGTTTCTGAGCAGAGAGAGCTTGAGGCCGGATGCAGCTGTTCGTTCTCCCTGCGCCGGGACGCACCCTCTGCGCTCCCCAGGGAGCTCGGATTCAGCAGCGCCTGTCTCTCTCCTCCAACCCCGGCCTGGCGCGGGAGGCGGGGACCACTCTGCTTGATTTCTCAACGTGCGGGGCGCGAGCGCCGTCCCCGGGGAACCCCGGCCCGGGATCTTCAGGGGGAGGTTTCTGTACGAGCGCAGAGTCGCTTCCCCTCGCTGTGGGTGCGCCTGGCGCAGTAATACACGGCGCTGTCCTCGCGTTTCAAGCCGCTCATTTGTAAATGCGTCGTGTTACGGGGATTGTCCCTGGAGATGGTGAATCGCCCTTTGGCAGCCTCGGAATACCACTGCTTGGATCCGCTGGGCTGGCTGACCGTAGCCACCCACTCGGGCCCCTGCCCGGGGGCCTGGCGGAACCATCTCATGGTGAAGTTGCTAAAGGTGAAGCCGGAGCCTTTGCAGGAGAGGCGCAGAGAGTCTCCGGCCCTTTTCACGCCGCCCCCGGACTCCACCAGCCGGACCTGCGCTCGGGCACCTGCGGACACAGCAGAGAGCGGCCTTAGCAGTGAACCCCGAGAGCCCGGGCTCCCCGCGCCCTCCCGGGCCACGGTCACCTTGGGGAAGCGCCGCCAGGAAAGCAACGCGCAGCCAGAGCAGCATCGTGCGCCGAGCGGCCCGGGGAGACGCCCCCGGGTTGGGAACCGGTGAGTGATCCCTGCAGGCACCCGGGGCGGCCGCGCTTGCCCCCTGCCGGGAGAGACACTGGGCGGACGGGGGGGAGCGGGGGGAGAGGGGAAATGAGGTCACTCTGTTTCCATTTTCTCCTTTCTCTCCGGAGAGGGGAAATGACGTCACTCTGTTTGCATTTTCTCCTTTCTCTCCCGACAGACCAATCCAACACCGTGTCCAGTCCCTTTGGCCCCCCGCCGATCCCCAGCAGGGGCGCAGTGTGGGGGCCAGGCGGACACAAATCTCTCGCGCTGGGCACTTTGTGTTTTCAACAGATTAATTTCCAGGCTGGCAATGCCGGTTCCACCTCCCTCCCCCCCCCTTGTCCCCCTAAAAC